TTTAAACAAGACATATTCATTCACATACAACATCAAATATTTAACTACCATGTGAAGAAAGAAGAAGAACGCAGTAATACGCATATACGACAAAAAGGAATAATTAAAATCCGACCATATGAAGATCCTAATTGACTAAGCGACCAAATAGAAAATCTAACTCCAACTATGTAATGGAATAAAATAGAACGACGATCTAACGAAAATCATGAATAAGCATAATTCGACCGAAAAAATGATTTACACAATTAACCGGCCTGGACAATCCAGTAGATGCAATTTGGTTTGACCGTTATCAAACCCCTGGATCAGACTGGTCAATTGACCAATTAGCACATGTAGTTTTAAGTTACCGTGTAATTTTAACTGACTGCAGTATTTTTAATGGATTCTTCTTCATTAAAAGCAATTTGCAATTCTTTATTGCAAAACTGCTTGAAACTCATAATTATGACTCAAACACGGAGGACAATGGTCGGTAATTTGTAAAAGTTTTTTAAGGTTTACTAGTCAAAATCTTGAAATAAATCGCGTAAATTCTAGATTTTATACATTGTGACAAGGCCACGATCTATTTACTTTATCAATGCCTCAAAGATGTATTTTGTGTTGCTTCTGACGAAATTCCCATGATTCTATTAAAGGCAACTTCATTGGTTGATTACGCTGTAGAAAAGCTGCACGCATATCCATACAAAGATGTGCCGATTTCTTGGAGAGGGTTGTATACCGACGCCAGTCTGTTAAAAAGTGTGTGCGAAATTTTTTTAGTACCAAATGTTGAGGATAAAAACTCATGGAAACAAGTTATAAAGACTTTAGATATGGCTTTTGTGATGACCGGTGCGCCTGGAAATGGTAGGAAAGAAATGCTTTTTAATCTCATTGAAGAAACAGAGAAAATCTTGAGAAAACTTGAACAGATAAATTACCAACAGAGCATTCAATTTACGTCGCCTAAACGTACTATGGATGACAATTATATAAAAAATACAGCTCATAAAAAGTCTAAAACTCAAAATTCTGTTATCCGGTGAATTCAACAAGCTACTTCTTTAAATATTTAGCTCATAATTATAGAGGCTTTA